AAAAAAAAACAAAATTTCAAACGACCAAGTAACTACCGAGCTCGTATTAAATTTTTCGTTCTCCGTCTGTGATACCTAAGAATTCGTTGTAACGAGTGCACGAACGTCGAAGAACTTTCTTACATCACGAAATTCATGTTAGTTTGTGCAATAAAGAATTGAAGAAGTTCCAAAGAATTTGACTCGGGATAGCATAGACGCGACTCTGGACGAAATTCGCGGTACAAGTAATATAAACGATGTCGCAGCAGAAAGACACATTTACACGATTGACGCAAGAGTTACTGGCCTGCAGGTATATCTATATATTTAGCAGAACTGTCATTAGCCACGATCACCGACCGATAGACCCGACGATACTATACGTTGGTAAATAGGTACGTGTCCTAGAGCAGTAACAAGTATTCGAGCAAGCTCGTGTTTTTATTGCTAGAGAGTCGTGTGTACCTTTTAGACACCCTCGAGAGACCGAGTTCGTATAGTCCCGCTGAGTTCTTTAGACTCTTCGACCGAGATATCCTCCACTCTTGTACGTCTTCCTTCGATAACCCGATAATTTCTCTCTTCCCTTCGAAGGATCATCGAAAGGGAAAAGCGTCATTTCTCTACGTGGACGCGCGGTAACAAAGTCTCGCCTATTCCGAGAAAGTATCATTCGCCGAAATGAAATCAATTTTTCTTCCACGCGAACAAGAGTTCTCGGTAAAAATCCTCTGGCTTCGAGAACTTTTCCCGTTCTCCAAGTTTTAGTTACGATTTCCCCGATAGCGAAGTATCTTTAGGGCTACGGTAATCCGTAATCATTCCTAGATTTATCCGTCGAGGTCGTTCGCACTATGTAAAAATGATGTTTCCAGTGGAACGAACCAACGTATTTATAGCCGAACGAACGACAGTAAGGGTAAGTTTTCCGGCTAGAGAGGAAGTTGAACGACCCCGGTGGATGTTACGTTTTATCACCTTCGTGAAACTAGAGTTATAGAGTTATAGCCGGCAGGATTATATTCAACAGCATCTAGAATTAGAATCTCGCGTGAGTAATTCAATAAGAACTTCCCTCCTCTGTCCAACGGCGGAAATCCCCCTTTGAAAGAAGCTCGTCAGTTTAAACATTTAATTAGTTGCTCGATTCCATCCCCCCATCCCATCGATGATCGACGAGTTTCTTCGAAGCCTTCCGCGATCGTGCGCTTAACCCGTAACTGGTAGAACGATCGCTTCATCGTTTCAAGATAAGTTGACAAACGTTCATAGAGAGATAATCATTACTCGAACCCTGTTTAGAGATCTCATAGTTACTCTTAAAAGAATAGTCTCCTTCAAAATCGCATCTGATGTCGTACGTGTATTCCAAAAGTGATGTAACGAAACTAATTCCAGATTAAAACATTTCTAATTGAACTTCTTTTCGAAAAATACGTTTCTTTAAGTAGTCACTTTTGGCACGCATAGGCGGCGCGTAGTTTCATCCCCCTTTCGATATCAATTTAGAAAAAGAACCAATGCCTAACGAAACGTGTACCAAGTCGAAACAAAATTGATTTCGATGAGATGAAAGATGAAGAAGAAGAAGCGAAGATATATCGGTCCCAGATTCGAGCCCAATTAGACGGTTCTCTCTCCCATTTCTCCCAAGGCAAACGGGTTTACATAGGCCATAGAAACGCATATACATAGTTAAACCACCTAGTTGTGTAGCTTAAGTATTTAAGTAGCGTGAAGTATTAGTGTAATAGAGTAGTAAGTAGTAAAGCGTGGCGGGGTGTGTGTGTTTTGGGGCAGGTTCATCACGGCGTTCTCGCAGGGCATAGAACTGGATATGGATCTGCGCACGTTGCGTGCGATACGCGTGTTGCGACCGCTCAAACTTGTCTCCGGCATACCGAGTGAGTAGCGTTTCAATACAATTCGGCACACCGATCGCAAAAAAAAAACACAACAATAATGACAACGAGAAACGATAAAAAGAGAGAAAGTTCAGCCGAGTTCAAACGAAATTTCGCCTGGTCTCGTTTTTGGCATAGAGGAAACTGTTCGTAACAAGTAGAAGTTGATTTAGAAATTTCGGGTCTTGGCCAAATTCGCTGTCGAGTCACGATTATACCCCGCACGGANAAAAAAAAACACAACAATAATGACAACGAGAAACGATAAAAAGAGAGAAAGTTCAGCCGAGTTCAAACGAAATTTCGCCTGGTCTCGTTTTTGGCATAGAGGAAACTGTTCGTAACAAGTAGAAGTTGATTTAGAAATTTCGGGTCTTGGCCAAATTCGCTGTCGAGTCACGATTATACCCCGCACGGAGCGGGCTAATTTTTGTCGGTTGAAATTAGAGCAGGACGAGGAATCAGGGCTCGTTGCTCGAGGAACGCGCGCAATCGCCACCCCGCGATTCGTGCTCGGATACTTCGTGCTCGGTTCGACCGGATATATCCGTTTTTCGTCGAGGTTCATCGATTTAGCTGCTACGTAGATCCGATTACGAGCGAACAGAGCGACTAACGTTTACTCGGACGTACATACATATTATGCTCGTAGATCTCAGTGTAGTAATTAATTATATTATTGCAAGTATATACTATATTATATTTCTATATCTATATATTATCTACACGTAGATGCCTTGCAACGCTAGAACGATTATTTTGTTTACGTAGCACCACCCAAATAGATCTATATTATATATGTATATCTTTTGAGAGTTGTATGCTGTGTCCATTGTAACGAGAACGAAGTATCCCGATTCTTTTCAATCTGACTGTGTGCAACGTTCAACCAGGAAACGCATCTTCGAATGCGATGCGATTTGAAAATTAGCGGTGAAGAGTATGCATACTATATATAGCACGCACGCTTCCCCGAGCAGCGAGGAGAGTAAAAATAAAGTGAAAAGAAGAAATGAAAGTTGAGTTGAAACGAGTCGAGTTAAGAGACACGTGAATCGCTTGGAGGGCACGGTGATTGGGCCTAATTACTCCTGTCGAACTTTTTCTATCCGCAATAGGTCTCCAGGTGGTGCTCAAGTCTATCATCAAGGCGATGGCCCCGCTTCTGCAGATCGGCCTGCTGGTACTTTTCGCCATCGTGATATTCGCCATCATCGGTCTCGAATTTTATTCGGGAACTCTGCATAAAACGTGTTACAGCATCAGGGATATCAGTGAGTAGCGTCCAAACGACTCCTTCTCAACCTACTCCTTCCTCCGTTCCTGTTCAATGGATCACGGATCCACCCTTCATATTCGTGTTCAATTCGTAAAATAATTAAGATTCTTAATTAGAAAAATGGATTAAGGTAATAATCGATGTCGTGCGAAAGAAATGTAGCCCCGTTTTGGTAAAACTCGATGTCTGACCGGTCATTCGGCAAACGGGAACATCGACCCGCGAACTGTGCCGGAGGCTAGGCAGATCTGATACGGATATCGTTTTAGGTGTAATCGTGAAGGAGGGCGAACAGGCGAGCCCGTGTAACACGGACAACAAATCGGAGGCGCCGTTCGGGGCCCACGTGTGCGACGCGAACGTCTCGACGTGCATGGATCACTGGGAGGGACCAAACTTCGGCATCACCAGCTTCGATAACATCGGATTCGCCATGCTCACTGTCTTCCAGTGCATCACTATGGAGGGCTGGACTGCCATATTGTACTGGGTAAAGCAAGAGATATGTCTCTCAGTGTTGTAAAACTCTCTGTACCATCTATCTA